TTTTTTTTTTTGGTAAAATTTACATTCTTGAAAGGCACAAATCCAAGTGTCCTATCTGATGAGTTTTAACAGATACACCCAATTGTGTCACTCAAGCCGTTATCTAGATGTAGACTGTTCCCAGCACCTGAGTTCCCTTGTGCCCCACCCAGTGGATCCCTTCTCACATCTTTCAGCTCTACCAGAGGCAGTCATTTTTCTTTTTTTTTTTTTCCCCAGCATAGGTTAGCCTGTACTAGAATTTAACACAAATAGTTATATACTCCTCCTGTGTAGGGCCCTTTCACTCAGCATGTTTTTGATATTCATCTGTGTTGCTGCGTGTATCAGAAGTTTGCTCTTTTTAACAGCGGACTTTTGAGCTGTCATTGGGAAGTACCCAGAGCACTGTCATGGAAGTGCCCCTTGCCAAATGGAAGGGCTGCCATTGACCTCACCAGCCATCCAAAGAGGGCCAGGACATTTGGAAAATCAAGTGGATTCTCCAGCTGGGCTGTTAGAAAACCACTTGCTTCTGTGGAGAATCACTGGGTTTTATAGGCTTAGCTCTAGAAAGCATCATTTTGTCATCTCTGAAATGACAGTGTATCCAATTACATCTCTCCTTTCTGTCATTTTACACCCACAGTTGAAGATTCCTGTCTCTGGATCCAAGTCAGAGGGTCATCTCCACGTCCACTCAACCAGAAGTGGCCCCTTTCACAGGTATCCTGGGGAGGTGACAGCAGTGGGGGAGTGGGAGGAGGACTTCCTAATAGAAGCAAGCCTGACTCCATTTTTATTTCATGTTAAATGGCTGCGGGCATAGGAAGAATTAGTTTTCAAGCTTGAAGCTGAAAGTTTTGTGGCCTGGGCAGCAAGCCAGTACTGTGGCGCTTAGCTGGGTCCAGTTTATCCATACAGTCTACTGAATTGCCCTCTCCTTATGCTGTTGAATTTGTAAAACTTTACAGTTATAATGATCTAGCTCTATCATAATTTGATGCTATGTTACAACTTCTCACTTGACTGCCTCAATTGTTACAAATGAATAAAGGGCATGGACTCTTGTTCCCGAATTTATTCATCACATTCTTGCATAAGCTCTCCACCCCTTAATTGGCTTTGCTTTTCTGGTTGCCAATAGCTACATCCACTCACTTCCCCCACTGGAAGCCTCTCTCAGAGATGTTTGCTGTTTAGCCAGACTGTGTTTTAATTCCCAAGGACAAAAGGAGCAGGCAGCCCCACCTAGCTCACCCTGGGCTCGATGACCTCTGAGCCTGGGATTAGTGCATGAGCTGGCTGGATTCCAGGCCAGGAACTGTGAATTAGGAAATGATAAATAAACTGCTCCTTCTCCTTCCTGATGTCCCTTCCATTTGCCTGTCAGTCATTTTTAAGCCTGCCTTGGAAGTCGAAGCTGGTTAAATAATGAGAGCCGGTGAAATGTTGAAACATGATGTTGACATAGCACTCAAACAAAATCATGTTTAAAAAATTTAAGGCATTATTCAAAACAACTGCTTTCCTACCCCCTTTTTTTTGACTATGGCTGTTGCCTCAGCGCTCATGGATTAGAGAGACTGTACTTTTGGTTTCTCTAAGGTGGCACCTTAATGAGGTCTTCTTAGAGCTCAAGGATGGTCAGCAGATTTCCGTGTTCAATCTCAGTGGAGAAAATGGTGATGACGTGAAAAAGGAGTAGAGACGACCCAAAAGACCCAGGTTGCTTCTAGTCCAGCCTTCCCTCATCTCTACCATGTGCCCACTGGCATGGTGGCCCATCTGAGTGACAGATACTCCTGCAAGCCAGTTTTCCAGCCACCAGTAGGATGACTGTATGTGCCATCATGTGGTAATTTTGGTATAAATCTAACTTGGGCACAACAAATGCTATTTGTCGTTTTTAAACTGAATCAGAAAGAAACTCTTACAAATTTAAGATGATTTATTTGAAAGTGCTTTGTATAAAAAAGGAATCAAAATTAATAAAATGTTTGTTGATCTTTGCTAGTTCTCATTTCTTTCCTTTATCTTCTTCTTTCCCCTGGAATTTTCAGTTCCTCAATACAAAGCCTGAGGCTTAGTAGTACTGAAGGAATTTTTTTCTAAATATTGACATGAGAATGCTGAGGAAGACCGCTTTTGTTTTTCACTTTACCGTGAATTCACGTTGTTAAGTAGCTTGTGGACATTCTCCATCACTTTGGAATATTTTGTTTGCTTTGTTTATATTTATTTCTATTTCAGACACTAACCATCTGCCCAGGTGAAGATTTGCAAAATAACTGCATTTATTCCAAACATTTTGAAAGCTTAGAAAATTTGTATGTGTACATGTACAGTTAATGTAGGAAAGTTAGACAGGTTCTGGCTGGGCGCGGTGGCTCACGCCTGTAATCCCAGCTCTTTGGGAGGCTGAGGTGAGTGGATCATCTGAGGTCAGGAGTTTGAGACCATCCTGGACAAAATGGTGAAACCCATCTCTGCTAAAAATACCAATAAATCAGCCAGGGATGGTGGTGGATGTCAGTAATGCCAGCAACTTGGGAGGCTGAGGCAGAGAATCGCTTGAATCCAGGAGGCGGAGGCTTTAGAGAGCCAAGATTGCATCATTGCATTCCAGGCTGGGCAATAAAAGTGAAACTCCATCTGAATGAATGAATGAATGAATGAATAAATAAATAGCTAGCTAGTATGTTCATAACCTTCTGCTTTCCACACAACATAACCACAAGTTAGAGAATCGTATCCTTAGGTTTTATTAGTCTTATAAGGAAACATACTATAAAGCAAAAGAACGTCCTTCTGCACAGCAGAGCCTACAAAAACAGAAATCTAGTATCTGTGCTTTGAAAGGTCAGTTTAACTCTCTTAGTATTAGCAGGCTTAATGTAATTGTAGTTGGTTGTCTACAATGAAGGACAGCCATGAGCTCTCTTCCTACATTCTTAATATTCACTGAAGAGAAGCCTTTCAGAAAAAAAAGAGCTTAAATATATTGGTAGAGCATGAGGTCTTCAGTTTTTACAAGTTATCTCTGGAGTTGTTTCTCTAAAAACATATTTGTGCGTTCTTTGAGTAGATTATACAGTGAAAAGTCTCTCCCTGAGAGCACTTTTGTCAGTGGGTTTAGATAAATATTCCAATCTCTACAATCTTTTAGAATAAATGGCAGAGTACTGTACAGTTTTGTGCTTTTTAAGTTACACACTGTCCTACTGTATGTGTGGTGAATTTGTGTTGCGAATTTGTGTTGCTTTCTGCTCTGTAACAACTTTTACTTCATTTTAGTGCTCGAATTTTTTTTGGTTGTTTGCTGTGGCCAAACTGTAGAAAACCAGGGCTTAGGTTGGCCATCGGTTGTAAAGTAAAAACAAGTGTAGAGTTTGAATTAAGAAGCTTTTTCTTTTTTTTTTCTTTCTTTTTTTTTTTTTTTAGACGGAGTTTCACTCTTGTTGCCCAGGCTGCAGTGCAATGGGGTGATCTCGGCTCACCGCAACCTCCGCCTCCTGGGTTCAGGCAATTCTCCTGCCTCAGCCTCCTGAGTAGCTGGGATTACAGGCACGCACCACCATGCCCAGCTAATGTTTTGTATTTTTAGTAGAGACGGGGTTTCACCATGTTGACCAGGATGGTCTCGATCTCTTGACCTCGTGATCCACCCGCCTCGGCCTCCCAAAGTGCTGGGATTACAGACGTGAGCCACCGCGCCCGGCCCCAATTAAGAAGCTTTTTCTAAGCCACCTGATAGGAAATAGTATTATGTAATGAAAGGCTCCTTGATTTCTATTTGAAAGTCACTCTCTTGGGTATTTTTTCTGTTCACAATTACTTCCATATGTGCACTTAATGCCTTCATGGGTGATTCTGAACAGGCTGGAACCTGGTCCTTGCAGTAGACACTGTCTTTCCTGTTCTTTGAAGATAGCGATGATGTACTCTTGCAGCCTACTACTTCCTTTATATCCAGTAATCACTGTGACTCAGCCATTGAGTCACTAACTACCTTAATGATGTCTTGGATAATGCATCAGAAGAAAAGGTGACTTTTTAAGGAAGGGCCCCCAGTACATCCCATGAAGAGACAGTATAGCCTGGAGACCGGAGAAAGGGCTTTCCTAGAATTATACGAACTGTAGATCTGTAAAGACTGCAGGAGAAGGATCACTGCCAACAAATGGTAGAGTGACTCCCATGTGCTTTGCTATAGAAGAGGCTGCAGGGCCTCCACCCACAAGTTCCTTGCCAGCCAGTATGCTGGGTGGATGAGCAGGGGCCGTGGAGAGTATTATAATACTGTGCCAAAAGAATTTCAAGCTGTGTTGCTAAAAATGATGTAGAAAAGAGAGATACCAGTTAGGAGAAATTTAAGAGGCTAGCTGGAGGCAGTAGTGTCCTTGTGGACCTTAAAGTCCAAGATTTTGATAAGCAGACATGATGGAGAGTGCCCTGCAACTGAAAAGCACAACATGAAGAAAGGCCCCAGAGCGGGCAGATGGGAGCTGTGCCCCAGAAATAAGAGACCCAGTTTGGACAGCATGTAGGTGAGCATAGGGTAAAGTAAAAGAGAGGCGTGGAAAGGTAGATTGGCCATAGTGTGTGAATGCCAGTGTGGATATGTTGCATACAATTTGTGGCTGTCAAAGATTGTGGGGTAAGCACATGATTCTGCTGTTAATGAAGGTTTCAGAGATTGTCCTGAATGTGTACTGACAAGACCAGTATGACTTTCAGGTAAGTCACAGACTTTACCGTCTTTGTTCAGTTCTCCTAGAATTAGCCTCCTCTTGCTTGCAAGCATTCCCTGTTCACCAACCCAAGGACTTGGTAATACCTGATAAGGTTTTATTACTCTGAGTTTTGGTGAACTTTGTATACAGCAACAATGAAACTGAAATTACGTAAATACAAAACAGCCAGAACTTAACAATAGTTGCTTCTGTCCTCTGGCCACCAGCAAGGCCAGGGAAATGCTCAAGAAGAGGTAGCTCTGAAGGGTTTTTTTTTT